GCTGTGGCATCAGCCTAGCTCACAGCAACCTCAAACTCCTGGGCTCAAGCAATCCTTCTGCCTCAGCCTCCTGAGTAGCTGGGCCAGGCATGCACCACCATGCCGGCTAATTTTTTCTATATATATATATTTTTAGTTGTCCAGATCATTTCTTTCTATTTTTTAGTGGAGACGGGGTCTCGCTCTTGCTCAGGCTGGTCTCAAACTCCTGACCTTGAGCGATCCACCCGCCTCGGCCTCCCAGAGTGCTAGGATTACAGGTGTGAGCCACTGCACCCGGCCTCCATGTCTTTTTTTTTTTAAATTACAATGTATTAATTAAAGAAACTGGGTCATTTGTCCTGGACAGTTTCTCGTTGAATTTTGACGACTGCATCCTCAGGGTTTCACTTAACATGTTCCTCTGATATCTGTATTCTCTGCACTTCGGTAGTTGTCAGATTTGGGGTGATTTTTTTTAACACTATCAGAGTATCACCTATTATACTTTCATCAGCAGTTAGTTATCTGTATCTCTTCAAGTGAAGGCAAAATCTTAATGTATCATGATATTGGTAGCCATTGGTGATTTTTTCCTAGATCCATTAATTTATTCAGGGTAAACTTAATTTTTTTTTTAGCAGATGGTTCCTTACACCATTTATAGCATAATCTCTCCCCACCACACACACACTTATTTGAAATGCATCTTTCCCATGTGCCAAATTTCCATTAGTATTTATTTCTGGACTTCCTGGTCTATTCCATTAATCTATCACATTCTTTTAACTGTAGGTTTATAATATGCATAGTATCTGAGAAGGCTAACAACCTTCACTAATCTTAGTTTTACAAAAGTTTCCTGGCTAGTCTTGCTTATTTATTTTTCCAAATGAATTGTTAAATCAATTTATCTAGCCCTCCCTCCTCACACAAAGAAACCTGCTGATATTTTTATCGGGATCACATTACGTTTATAGATTAACTTGACTTCTTTTTGATAGTCTTCCTATCCAAGATCATGGTATTTCTTTCATTTAATCTTTATAACGCTGAAGTGCAGGGTGTATTCTTCTTCTTCTTTCCATTTTACAGATGAAATAACTGTGTAACTTGCTCTGGATCACACAAACCATCAGATGTAGGACCTGCCAGTTTGGTCTGACTTCGAGCTTCTGTCCCCTAAACAGAAGCTCAGCGGGGGAGGGAGCCAGCCCCTCTTCGTGCTTGGCTGCTTAGTAGCTCTCTGCCTCCAAAGCCACGTTCTCATCAGCCACGTGCTTCTTTTGCACTGGACAGTTCACCAGCGAAGCTAGGCTTTTAAATGAATGACATAAATATGAGTGCTATGCAAGGTTCACACGGGGCTGAGGCATCTGGGGAGAACCTTCTGGAAGAAAGAAAACTCAAAATGGACTTTGGACAGTAAGAATTTAGATGGCCAGAGAGGACCGGAAAGCACAACTGGCAGGGGGAAACGGGTGAACCAACTGGACATCTATCTAATTGGGAGGTAGTGAGGGTGATGGGGGCAGGGGGCTCTTGCTGGAGCTCAAGGATAGAAAGGGTCTCTCTGTCCTGCCCAGGAAAGGGCATTTTAATTCTTCCTGAATAATCTGTAACAGAGATTTGGGAGATGGACGTAAATTCAGAAAGGCTCATTCATTAACTTCTACCTGGGAGGGAATGTTGCCATTGCATGTGACTTACACGCAGAAGCAAAGTCCTTGCAAGAAGGGCCTGGAAGCTGGCCGGGCGCGGTGGCTCACGCCTGTAATCCTAGCACTCTGGGAGGCTGAGGCAGGCGGATTGTTTGAGCTCAGGAGTTCGAGACCAGCCTGAGCAAGAGCGAGACCCCCGTCTCTACTAAAAATAGAAAGAAATGAATCGGACAACTAAAAATATATAGAAAAAATTAGCCGGACATGGTGGCGCATGCCTGTAGTCCCAGCTACTCGGGAGGCTGAGGCAGGAGGATCGCTTGAGCCCATGAGTTTGAGGTTGCTGTGAGCTAGGCTGACGCCACGGCACTCTAGCCCAGGCAAAAAGAGTGAGACTGTCTCAAAAAAAGAAAACAAAAAAAAAGAAGGGCCTGGAAGCTGATTTAAGGGCAGAGCATGAGACAGCATGCAGATTACTGAGTCCCCCATGGCCCGTGATGGGACACAACTCTAAAGGAAACACAAAAGCATTCCTGAGGCAACCTCAGTCAAGGCCCATGCCTCTGGTAGTCATTAATACTTGGCCACTTGCCCAAGGACCTAGAGTTAATTCACCCTTCTGACTCTTGAGGAGGAGGAGCCAGAGCCTGGGCCCCTATGACTCAGAGTAGATACTTTGTCAGAGATAAAGCCACACACTAGTTAAAGCTGGTAAGAACAAATTTTAATCAGCAATATACTACAACAATAGCGAACAGGGTCCTGCGTGAACTGAACCCAACTTCGGTTCACAGAGGTGACCAGCTTGTTTTAAATGGAGACTGAAGGAGTAGGGAAGGTGGCAAGCAGGGGCAGGGACGTGAAAAATTGTAATGGGACTGTGGCTGTTCATTGGCAATTGTGGAAGTTAGGGTTCTACCCTCACACAGAGACTGGGAGACAGAGGCCTTATCCTTCAGGGTGATGACATTTGAAAGGAATGGCTTTCAGGTCCTTGAGAAAGACACTTCTGAAGTTGTAGGAGATATATATACATCTCAAAGCATCAGAGGAAAGATTCACAATGGTAGGCCTTTTTTAGTTAAGTGCTGTAAGAAAGCGTAGTCTAGCCTGTGAGACCCTGTCTCTAAAAACTTTTTGAAAATTAGCCTGGCATGGTGGTGCACACCTGTAGTCCCAGCTACTCCCTGGAGCCCAGGAGTTTGAGGCTGTAGTGAGCTATGATTGCACCACTGCACTCCTGCCTGGATGACAGAAGGAGGCCCTGTCTCTTTAAAGAAAGAAAGAAAAAAAGATAAGGTAGTCAGGGGCCTATGGTCAGGTATTAGCTAGAACAAACAACAAATTCTTTTGGAAGCCTTGAGTTTTCTCAGGCAGGCACTTTTAGGGGACCTAGGGTCATTCTAGCGATGTGGCCTTGAGCTGTTAGAAGCTATGTTAGTATGTATTAATAAGTCTTTTAATGTGGAGGGAGGAGGGTGGATAAAATCATTTGTGTTGATAGTCTGCAGTTTTTATATTCCAATGTTGAGGCTTTGTTGAGAAGAGGGCTCAGTGGAGCCTGGCTGGAGTTTGGTTAAGGAGAGAGTCTTTGTCACCTTACAGCTGGGAGTTTGGGTTCCTGCCTGAGGGTGGTGCTCACCAAACTTCCTCTTCAAGAGTCTATAGCTTCAAGAACAGCAGAATAATAGGTAGTAAGAAAGGTCAACCTGGGTGGGAATGAGGGCCACTCTCATCAGAGAGTGACAAACCAGGAAATCTACATTTCCATCTGTCACTCCCTCAGCCTCTCTTAGGTCACAGCCCACCCAGAGGTAGCAGATTGTACTGAGCTGACCTCGTCCTAGGGGTTTGATATCACGAGTAGCACCAGGAAGACCTCTGCTGCCTCCTTCACAACAGAAAACCTTCCCTGCTGTAGGGGGAATTTCAAGGGCTAAGGTCTGGAACACCTTTCAGTCAGATGGCCCCATGTATTATAGCATCTTCCTTTATTGGGTGCAATGATTTGTTGTTTATTACTGTAAGTAATAAAAAGATCACTCCTGTGCTAAATTGGACTGGGGCCCTGCCTTCCATGGCCTGGCTCTGCAGAGGCTACAATTAATCCCATGGGAAGGCTATCCTTGAAAGACAATACCAGAATTCTAGTCAACAGACACTAACAGCAGCTGTTATCAAAGAAGTTCCCTAGACCAGCAGCATCAGCAACACCTGGAAACTTGTTAGAAATGCAAAGTCTAGGGCCAACCTGGAGCTACAGAACCAGAAACTGCGGGTGGGGGCCAGCAATCTGTGTTTGAACAAGCTCTCCAGGAGAACCCTATAAACACTAAAGTTTGAGAACCACTGACCTACCACCGGCTGGGAAGAAGTAGGAGGGCGAAACTGTGGTCCACCTGGAGCTTCATATACGTTTTGAGCCAGCTTTGGAAGTTGGGAGAAGAGCTAAGAGAAGATACAGAAAATATTTAAAATGTATGCATTTTATCCTAAACAGTAGGAAACTTCGGGCATCTAAGTGAGTCTGGAATGAGGTGTCCCAGTGGGCGAAGACTCTGGGAAACCCACAGGCACTCAGCCCTTTTCCCAGGTGGGGAACACGAAGTCTAGGGAGGCCAAACCCCACACCCACGCCGCTGACTGAAGCTCTCTCCCCTCGGGCCTCGGCGCAGCGGCCCCACCACAGCTCCGCCTCGCAGGGCCGGGCTATGAAGCCAAGCTGGCTCCAGGCCGTGGCTCTTTGCGAGCGCGAGTGGGAACAATTCCTTCTAGCCTGACTTCGCAGCAGCTGGCCACAGCCGCGTCTGAGAGGCATCCTCGGCTAGTGTGCACCTCGCTGAAGATGCAGGTATTCAACCCGGGCCCAAAGCACCGCAGCCTCCACGCCGTCCGCTTCGGCCGGCCAAAGCCCTGCCTTTTGCAAACAGAGCTTTTTCTATTGCCCTCCTTCGCCCCTCCGCCTTGCGCGGTAGACCCCCCCGAGCCCCAGCCGAACTACAAAGCCCACGATCCCTAGCGCGGGCGCGCGCCGCCTCCTGGGAGAGGTAGTCCGGGGTGCGGGGCGCCCGTCGCGGCCCGGCGCCGGCCGGACTTCATATCCCAGCATGCCCGCGCACGTGCGGGAGGCGGAGGGCGGAGAAGAGGGGGAGCATGCGAATGGGGAGGGGGCAGCCGCCCCCTTCCCCCCACCCTTCGCTTCCAGCCGGGCCGGGTGGGGGGAGGGGCCGGGCTGAGGCGGCGGCGGCGGCGGCGGCTCTCGGGGAGGGCTGGGCCAGGCTGGGGCGGGACTAGCCCACGGCGGGCGGACAAGAGCGCCGCGGAGCTAACGGGTCCGGACGCCGGCGGCGGCGGCGGCTTTCTGCGCGGGCGGAGGCAGCAGGAGCAGGAGCGGCGAGCATGGCCCGCGCGGCGCCCGGCGCTGACTGAGGTGCGCGGGCGGGATGAGGGCGGGCGGGATGCGGGGCGCCCCGGGCCCGGGGCTGTCCTAGTCCTCCTCTGCGCGGGCGCTAGCTCGGCCCCGCGGCCCACACCGGCCCGGTCCAGCCCAGCAACTTCCCCCGGGTCGGGCGCTGGACTCTCCCGCGTGGGCGGGGGTCCGCTTGCGTTGGCCTCGATGCCGATCCCCGCCTTCTGCTGTGCACATCCAGCCGCTCCCAGCCTTTCTGGCGCTCCTGTTCCACTGCTTGCTGGCAGCCCTCAGTCCCGACTTCCAGTCCACTGCCTAGTTCGTACCCCCATCCCCCTGGACTCTCCCGGCCTCTGCTTTACCTGGAGTCCCCTGCCCCTCTCTTGCCAGAGGCTGGCTGAAGCATCAGCACCTCTCCCCTCTTTCCCCTGTGGTCTTTCCCGTGGCCACCCTGAGTGGCCCAATTCTCCCAGCTTGACCTCCTTCCCACTTTGGAGAAACTGAGGCATGGCATGAGCCAGAAACTGCCAGTGCGCTAATACTGTGGTGGCTGGCCTGAGCCCCGTCCCTTGTCCCTCCTGTTCCTCCCATGGTTTGGAACAGAAGAGTCACTTCTTTCCTCCAGTCATTCCCCTGTGACTGGACCAAACTTCCCACCCCTGCTGCCGCTTGAGCTGAGCTCACTTTAGTCTCCCCTTTAGCTTTCTACCACTTCTCCTTCCCCTCCTCCTTCGAGTATCCCACTCCTGGCCCCCTCTGCCTGTAGAGGAGTCACCCACCCTTGCTTGCTTGCTCGCTCAAGTTAGCCTTTCGATTTCTTGCCAGCTGCATCCATTTCTCATCTTGCCTCCTGCTTTACAGTTGTGTAAAGGACCAGAGAACAGAGGCTACGGTGGTGCTGGGGAAAAGGGAGAGACAGGTGTTGGTCATGAAAAGACAGGTGCGGCCTCTTTCAGCCAAAGCCCCTGAGAGGGGTTCAGGGCATTCTGAGGCCTCTGGGGAAGTCATTCCTAGCCAGTAACTCACACTCCTGCCCTGTCTTCGGGAGGGATGTCTGGCAGCTGGTTGGCCATCCTTCCTGTTATTATGCCTGGTGGGCTCTGAAGTCGCTCCGAGATAGAAGACATCCATCTCCTACCTTTAGGGAGCTGGTGGCATGAGAGAACTCTGGGAGACCACACCCCTAAGCCTCATCTTGCATCTGCTGCTAACTTTGGAGGGGGTTGCCCTTTCAGGTGGGGAGGGGCTCTTAGCTCCTCGTGGAGGAAGGCACAGTGTCTGTAGGTGGTGATCTCAAGTTTAGACGTGGTGCTCAGGATTTGAAGGGATGAGGGAACGAGGGCTCAGAGGTGGCACAGACTTGCCTGTATAATTCAGTTTTTTGTTTGTTGTCTTCCTCTAGATTATTTTTTGGGGTCAGCCCTTTCTACCCTGATCCCCAGTTTCCCAGTGGGAAGGGTTGAATAAGGGTGGAGGAAGGGACGGGAGGCTCCAGGAGTTCTTTGGGGTCCTGAATGAGCAATCTTGATCTGAACCAGATGGTTCCCTGCTTCAGCACCCCCTCCCCTGACTCCCCCTTGGCTGTGAATAGGATGCTTTTAACCTTGTAACTTGAGAATGGAGGAAGGGAGGCCAGGGGGCCAACTGTCTGTGCAAGCGTTTATGTCTGCATCTGCACACTCGTGTGTAAGCTTGCCAGGCGCCTGTGGGAGTGACCCTGCCCGGGAGTGCATTGTTGTGATGTGCTGTGGCATGCTGAAGGCCCAAATCCCAGATAGAGCCATTCAAAGCCCCTAAGAACCACTGGGTGTGGCCTCAGGGGAGCGTTTCCCATGAGGATCACTGCTCTTGAGAAGTCCACCTGGGATTGAGGGATCTGAAATACCAGGATTGAGGGGAAGGGAAGTGAGGCAGTTTGGCTTTCCCAGAACTAGTGTTCTCTTTTCATGGCAAGAGAAGGTCTGAGGGGTAGGGTCTGGGGGGAGGGGTAGGAAACAGATTCTTCTATACCACATCCTGCCCTGCTTTGGCAGTATTTGTATACTTGATTTTGTGGATGTTCTTCATGTGCATACTCATTTCTGAAATACTACTGCCTGGCTCAGTCCCTGGCACATAGTAGGTGTTCAGTATATGTTTGAGTGAAAGCAGAGGGTCTGTGGTTAAAGACTTGGGCCAGGGTTCTTCATATTTGACCGGTGTCAGAATCCCCTGGAGAGCTGATTAAAGCAGAGTGCTGGGCCCCACTCCCAGAGTTTTCTGGTCAGTCAGTCTGGGTGGGGCTTTTAATTCTCATCTCTACGCAGCTCCTTGGGGCTAACACTCTGAGAACTGCTGATTTGGGGCCGTTACAATTACTTGAGAGATTAATCCAGGCAGACGTAAAATCTTAAGAGTAACTTCTTTCCACCTTACTTCCCCACCCAGGCTGTTCTGGCAGTCGCACTGGTTTGGCCTTTTCTTTCATTCTGATGCTGCCCAGGGTTGAGTACCTTAATGATGGGATGACTCATGCCCGAGCTGCCAGTCTTCACTCTAACCACATAGCAGACACTGCCCCATGGTTATTTGAAGAAGGGCCCCATGACCAAGCAGGACGTCTAGGAACCAGGGCTTTGGAAGAGGGTGGCTGCATGGACATAGTGAAGCAAATGCTGACCGGGGCCCCCATGTGCCCTGTGCTTGTCTCCCAGACTGAGCGAGTTGGGGTGCCTGCCAGGCAAAGTCCTGCTGTGGCTGCAGAGTGGACAGGATGCCTGGGAATCTCTGAAATTTAGAAAAGCAGGAGGCATCATTTATGTTGTACTTTGCAAAGCACTTTCCATCTGTTGTTTTATGGGAGGTTTATAAGGCAGATACAGACCCAGGTAGGGTTACTGAGGAACGGAGAGATACTTTGCGTGTCACACAGACCCCTGGACTACTGCCTCTAACTCTTGGACTGAGTGTCTGCTAAGTGGGTTGCTACTAATAGCTCAGTGAACAGTGGCTTCATTGAGTGCTTCCTACCAGCTAGGCCCCGTGCTAGATCTTCTCAGGTGTTAACAAATCCTCACAGCAACATTGCAATGTTGACATCATTGTCACTATTTTGCAGATGAATAACTGAGTCTTACAGAACTTAGGAGACTTGCCCAAAACCAGACAGCTAGTAGGATCTGGTATTGACCTCAGGTCTTTCTGACACATACCCCATGTTCTTAGTTTGGCTCTTAGTCCTGCTTTCTGTCTTGCCCGGCAAACTTGTAATTGTTCTCTGGGGTTGTCTGTCCCCAAAAGCCTGACAAATTATTTTTTTTTCTTTTTTTTTCTCTTTGAGACAGAGTCTTACTCTGTTACCTGGGCTAGAATACAGTGGCATCGTCATAGCTCACTGCAACCTCAAACTCCCGGGCTCACGTGATCCTCCTGCCTCAGCCTCCCGAATAGCTGGAACTACACGTGCACGCTACTACACTTGGCTAATTTTTATATTTTTTGTAGAGATGGGGGCCTTGCTATGTTGCTTAGGCTGGTCTCAAACTACTGGGCTCAAGTGATCCTCCTGTGTTGGCTTCCCAAAGTGCTAGGATTATAGGTGTGAGCCACTGCACCCAGCCTGATGAAAGTTTTTGAGGCTGCAACTTTGCTGGGTGTTGTGGAGAGATAACAATGCCCAAGTCACTGTGCTCTGGGAGGGGGATGAGATAAGTACACCAGTATGTCTACAGTGGAAGGTTGACAGTATAGCGGGTGGCTTGTAAGTTTAAAGGAGGTAGAAGTCATCCCCATAGAGGGCTCAGAAGAGGCATTTGGGATGGGCCTTAAGGGTAGGGTCCAGCAGTGCCTGTGGGCTGGTGGTGTGCAGGCCAGTGGGTGCAAAGAGAGGCAGTCATAGGACACAGTTAGGGAGCTGTCCCTTTTGGCTGGACCGCTAGAGCATAGGGGATGTATTTAGAAAGTAAAGAGAAATCCTGTTTGGTTGCAAGCAACAAGTTGGCCAACTTTTGCAAGAAAGGACTTCCTTGGAAGGCCACGGGCACTACAGAATTAGAGGGATAATTCGGGACCCAGGTCCCTTCCAGGATCTTGGTGTAGATGTGGCATGAACCAAAGGCTCCCTCTTCGGGCTACCACTGTCGCCAGGATGAATCTGCTCTGGCTGTGCTCAGTAATTTTGTCACCACTGCTTGAGATTCACATGCCAGGGAGGAAATGTCTGGTTGGCCAGCCTGGGCCATGTTCCCTCCCTTGGCCAGCCAAGGGCTGGTGGCGTGGTAGGCAGTCCCCCTAGATTGTATTGAAAAGCAAAAGTCCCCAGAAGAAGAGGACACGGACACCACAAGAGCTCAGTCCTGAAAGGTGCCAGACAAGAACTTGAACTGGCAGGTGGCGGTGAAGAGGGTACTTCAGTCTGACAAGTTTCTGTCAGACCAGGGGCAGACTGGCAGCAGGGTATGGCTGGGTCACAGGGGGACAGGTTGAGGAGGGAGGGAGGACACGGCAAACTAGGTAGGGTCCAGGTGAGATGCAACGAAGGCTGGAACCTGGCTGGAACCTGGCCGTAGAAATGAAGAAGAGGGGCGGAGTCTAGAGGCTGTGAAAGTAGATAGCGTCTTCAGAACAGACACTGGAGTGGCCGGGCTTGGCATTCCAGTGCCTGGTGATGGGGTTTTGTTTAGCTGAAATGGGGCAGTCAGGAGGAGGAAGAGTTTCAGGAGAAGTTGGTGTGTCCCTGTGTCAGCGGAGCTGTGTGCCTGTGCGGGATGCTGACGGCACACCCAGAATCCTGGCGAGCTGCCTGAGGTTTGGGGTCCACAGGCCTGAGGAGGTGGGGCTGCAAAGTCCCAAATGCCCTCTACATCCTGCAAGCAACTGGGGCTTTGGGGCCAGCTCAGCACTTCGCACGTCTTCTGTCTCCACCGGCAGCCCAGGGTGGGCTTCCCCTTCTCTGCCCTCAGTTCCCATGCCCAGCTGCCGCTCTCACCCTGTGTTCAGCACATCTGAGCCCTGACCCACTAAAGGGCCTGGCCCAGCTCCCT